CCCCAAAACCCCAAAACCCCAAAACCCCAAAACCCCAAAACCCCTTAGTATAAGAAACTATTGGAAGCCTTCTGTTACTAATGGATTAGTTACCGAACTTGGCCTTGAACTCACTCATGATTGACTTGAATACGTTCTTTTTTGGGGATTTGGCTGGAGCGAGGTCGAATAAGACGTGTGGGATGTCTCCTAAGAGTTCTCCAGATTTTTGATAGTCTTCAGCTTTCCATTCGGAAACAAATCCGGTAGCGTCAGTCTTGAGTCTGTCGGCGTATTTGGAAAGAGAGATGTAGACAATCTTAGCGATGGTAATAGGATCCTTAATAGTATTTTCCCAGTTTCCAAGAACCTTCTCAACTTCTTCTCCAAAGTCTGAGCAATCTCTAACGCTGGTTGGAATATGAGTGAAGAGAGCTCCTAGATCAGTAATGATATTAAGAAGATCGAATCCTCCTTCAATATCTGTAACGAATTTCTCAATATCTTCGAGAACATCATCAGCATCAGTGAGGCAACTTTCAACACCCTGGATGTCACTTTGCAAGGCCTTGCTAAGGAATCCATCAAGGAAGTAACCAACATCAAATGGAGTAACTGAGAGTGATTCCATATCGATAGCGCAGAGATCGAAGAGAACATGTGGGATATCTCCTAGCTTGAGTCCGCTCTCTTCAAACTTTCCGTTCTTCCAGTCATCAACGAAGCCAGTGGCATCACCTTCGAGTTGTCCCTTGTACTTGTTCAAAGCAATGGCAACCTAGATATACATCAATAATCCGTAATAAGGTATTACTTACAATTTTTCCCATCTCGATTGGGTTGATGAGTTTCTTTGACCAACCTGTGAAAGTTTCAGCAACAGTTGGTGGAAGATCTTTACATTCCTTGAGACTCTTTGGAATATTAGTGAAAAGGTCTCCTAGATCAGCAATAAGTGGGACCAAATCAAATCCTTTTTCTACATCCATAATGATTCTACCAATAGAAGCAACGATGGCATCTCCATCATTTAGACAGTCATCAACTCTAGCAATTTCTTCAACGAGGGCACCTCTCAAGAATCCGTTGACAAAGAGGGCGGTATCAGTGACGATGTTGTCCTTCTTGGCTGGTGCACAAGTAGCGACTGCTAAGATTAGGATCACAATAATAGCTTTCATTTTATTATTATTATTAACTCCCCAATTTTTTTTATAAAATAGGGGTTTTGGGGTTTTGGGGTTTTGGGGTTTTGGGG